CCTGCTGAATTTAGTGATAAGACAGTCTTGGGTAATAAAAGCTGTCCCTGGGTATTCAGTGGAGAAAGATATGCCAGAGAGTAATGGTTACTGATTTCCAGAAGGCCCCTTTTTTCCAGGGTTAAAAACTATTGTTATCTGTTGCAAAGGTCTAGGCTGTTTCAGATTTCTCCTCTTTTTAGAAGTTGCCACTTTTCTCATTCAATTAAGGGACACATTTTACGATTAATTCCTATTGTGAGTTGTGCACATGAAGGGTAGACCCTAGCTCCCATTCACAGCTTTGAGAGCCCATCGGATTTAAATAGTCCCAATTTAGGGAATGCATTGAATTCCTACACACCTTCAAAATCTTGGGCAGGGATGTTGGCCTGATTACCTCAGTTTTCTAAAGTATTTTAATCAATGCACAAGAAAACAAACAAATGAAGTGGTTAGTCATGATGTCAAACTCCCACCACCCATTCATCAGCTATTTAGGATTAACAAATTCCATAGGAATAGCATAAAGGTTTTCTTTAGGTCAATCAGAAAAATACTACCTTTTAAATATTAACAGTAGCATATGAAAAAAAGATACAAACAATCACATTTTGCTTGAAGTAAGATGGTTTCTTCTACAGCTGCTTCAGTTTTATATTTCATGCAACCAAACCACCCAAAATCAAAATTCTCTACTTTCCTAGCATTTCTCTAACATACAAAACCCAAACATGTGTGAACAGACATTCTATATAATATTTTAGACAAATCTTATCTTACTATAAAAAAAACATATGGAGATGCAAGAGTCACACACCCCCCCTTGGGTGTCATTGTCAAATTATCTATGGTCTGATCCTGAACATTCTCCTGAGATCACTGGGAATTCCTTGCAGGGCAAGGAATATACAAGGGTAGCAAATGTAAGTGATGTTACACTGATTTTAATACAGGGAAATAAGGCACCAGTGTTCAGATACTCAGATGTGTAGTATGTAGCAAGTTTTTCTCCTCTGATTATACAAGGCTGCGAGGTAAAAAAAAAAAAAAAATCTTTCCTTTTATTTTTATTCAACAAAAATGTCAAGAAGTGTTACTTCAAATTTCTAGGGCAAAATACTACAGAAACTATTAGTTTTATATTGAAAGCAAACCCATATATTTCTGCTGTTTTCTAAAGAAACCCAAACTCAGGACAGATTTTTTAGTTTTCTTTTTTTCAGATTCTGGGTTGGTAATATATCCTTGTACATACTGAGCAACTTAAAAGCACTCATTTGTTAGATGTGCAGGTGGAACAGGAAGGCTGACTGGATTTAGATGCTAGACTATTAGTAAATTCTAACACTTTGTAAACAGAAAGAATCAGGAGTCTATTGGGGAGAGGGAAAAATAGTTCCTAATTTCACACAGTTAAAAACTACAAGAATTTTCTCTGGCAAGAAAAGGGAAAAAAAACCCCAGTTAATTTAAAGTTATGTTCCAGAATTAGGTTCCACTACAGTAGAACAACTGATAGGTTTGGAGCACTACAGACATTTAACTAGTCAGTTATACGCTATGTATAACATCTAGAAAGGGACTCTCTATACTAACCTGTTTAAAATCTGGATACATAATCTTTCCAAGTTCAGGTTTTATTGTTGTAACTGGAGCAGGAAGTAAAAAAAAACAAAAAACAAAACAAAACAAAAAAAAACTTTGTTACGTTCAGTTTTTAATACAAAATCTTCATGCCTTATTTATTGGAATCAATTACTCTTATTCCTGTGACATTTTCTCTAGTTTAATTATTGTACAATGAAAAATAAAATGACATTGTAGCGATTTTTGCTGCTCAGTAACAGATATGAAGGCTCAAATATGAACCAAAATACTGTTAATAATTAATGCCACTTTTTAAAGGTTTAATCCAACAACTTTTCCCCCAGTCTTTTCATGGTGACTATCCTTTTTTTCTTCCATCTCCCTTTTGCTGCTGTCAATTTTGAGAGGTCAGTGGTAAAATGCAGCCACGGTGTTTACAGCCATTCACATTGCTTCCACCAAGCTTTTAAGGATTGCAAAGAGCTTACAGGACACTGATGTATAAATACAAAACGTGAGGTACAGTATCTCACAGCAATTCTGCTTGTTTTTGTTGCTGTCTTTTCTCAGTGGGATAGAACTGACGTTTAAAAAGGCAGATGGAACTAAAATGAAGACTGGGTCCAAAAACCGATGAGACTGGAATCGAAAGGTAAAAGAACTGGATGCAAGATAACAAATCTGCAGTTTCTGGATTTACAAAACTGTTATTCCCCCCCCCCCAGTAAAGTCTTGCAGGTAAGGTCACCATGCACATAGTTAACCAGTTTTTAAAGGCTTTGACTAGTTTGGGGGGGGGGGGGGGGGTGGGGAAAAAGGGGGGGGCCC